AACTTATGGGCTTAAGAAAATAATATAATAAAATATGAATTATTACTAATACCATCCCTTAATTCATATTCCATCAAAACTTGTAACACCAATTCCATCCCTTAATCTGAGAAATTGATCAGTCTTGATAGCTTTCGTCAGAACATCTGCCAACTGCTTCTGAGTGCTGCAGTGTACAACTTCTAACACTCCACTCTGAACTTGATGTCTCAGAAAATGATACTTGGTCTCAATATGCTTGCTTCTCCCATGCAGCACTGGGTTTCTGGCAAGGTTGATTGCAGACTTGTGTCAATCATCAACTTCAGAGGTTTGTCTACCTTAATCTTCAGATCCTGCAACAGATTCAGAATCCACACAGCTTGGCATGCAGTAACAGCACCTGCAATGTATTCAGCTTCACAGGTTGACAACGCCACAACAAGTTGCTTCTTGGAACACCAAGAAATGGGACCTCCCAGAAATTTGAACAAGTACCCAGATGTACTTCTTTTGTCAACTCTGTCTCCACACCAATCAGAGTCTGAATAACTCAGAAGTTCTGACTCATTATTTCCTCTAGAGGGAAATAACACTCCATACTTCAGAGTTCCTTTGATATACCTCAGAATCCTGACAGCAGCTTGGTAATGGGACCACTTAGGTTTACTCATGAACCTACTAACCATCCCAACTGAGTAGCAAATATCAGGTCTGGTATTGCACAGATACCTCAGAGAACGAACCAATTGTTTGAAGGTTGTAGCATCCACATCCTTTCCTTCAGAGTCTGAATCCAGTTTCTGATTTGTATCAGAAGGTGTGACAGCCATCTTACAATTCTTCAGATCAAATCTCTTCAGAAGTTCTAATTCATACTTGAGCTGATGCAAAATGATACCTTTCTCAGAATATCTGAACTCCATCCCTAGAAAGTATGTCATTTTGTCTAGATCAGTCATTTCAAATTCATCCATCAGAACTTTCTTGAACTTGGCTATCTCCTGTTCAGAACTTCCAGTCAATAGTATATCATCAACATATAAACATACCAGAGTCATATTGCCTTCAGAAGTATGCTGAACATAGACACCGTACTCCATCTCACATTTCTGAAAGCCTTGCTTCTTGAAAAATGAATCAATCTTCTGATTCCAAGCTCTGGGCGCTTGTTTCAATCCATATAGAGCTTTGTATAATCTGTACACCATCCCTTCCTGATTCTTTTTCACAAATCCAGGAGGTTGTGACACGTAAACTTCTTCTTCTAATGGACCATTCAGAAATGCAGATTTTACATCTAAATGCATCAGAGGCCAATTCCTGTTAGCAGCTATTGCAATCACTATTATGATTGTTTCATGTCTTGCTACAGGTGCAAACACTTCAGAGTAATCCAGCCCAGGTTTTTGTAGAAATCCTCTGGCTACCAACCTTGCTTTATGTTTGCCAATTGAGCCATCTGGCTTTAACTTCTGCTTGAAAACCCATCTGACGCTGATGGCTTTCTTGTCTTTTGGAAGTTCTGTCAGCTTCCAAGTCTTGTTTCTCTCTATAGCATCAAGTTCTTCTTTCATGGCCTTCAGCCAGAGCTTCTGCTTAAGAGCCTCCTCTGTACTTATAGGTTCAGAGTCTACTAACATGGCACACTGAATAACTTCTCCTTCAGAGTCTACTTCAGTGTCTTGCAGCATGTCAAATTCTGCAAATCTTCTGGGAACGCTTCTGATTCTTTGTGGTCTCTGAACTTGTTCAGAGTCTTGAGCTTCAGAGTTTCTAGCTTCAGATGATTGACCTCCAGAGCTTTGACCATCTTCAGAGTCTGGCATATTTCCAGAGTCTGAATTGCCACCAAGATCTGGATTGCCATCAGAGTCTGGGTCATCTGGGTCACCTTCATCTTCTGAGTCTTCTTCAGAGTTTGAATCAGTATCAGAGTCAGAGTCAATATCAGGGTTTACTTCAACTTCAGAAATTCTTAACTCTGACCTTTCTTCAGAGGTTCTAACATCAGAATCAGATTGAGACTTATCCCAATTCCAAACTTCTGATTCCTTCACAATCACATCTCTGCTGAATTCAATTTTATTGGTTTCTGGACAATAGAGCTTGTATGCACCTGTACTGTGGTACCCTATCAGAATCATCACTTTGCTTCTATCATCCAACTTCTGTCTTCTGGCTTCTGGAACATGTTTATAGCAAACAGAACCAAACACCTTCAGATGACTAACACTTTGCTTGTCTCCAGTCCACTTCTGCATAGGAACTATTTCCTTCAACTTCTTCGTAGGACATCTGTTGAGTACATACGTTGCAGTGGCAACAGCTTCTCCCCAGAACTTCTGAGGAAGCTTCTTCTCCTTTAGCATGCTTCTCACCATATCAAGCAAAGTACGGTTTCTTCTTTCAGCAAGACCATTGTGGTGAGGGGTATAAGGAGCAGTAACCTCATGCTCAATTCCATTCTCCTCACAGAACTTCTGGAACTCTTTGGAGTTATACTCACCTCCACCATCAGTTCTAAGAATCTTCAACTTCTGACCACTCTGATTCTCAGCCTTCATTCTGAACTTCTTGAATTCATCAAACACCTTGTGTTTAAACTTAATAAGGGATACCCATGTCATTCTTGTGAATTCATCAACAAATAACACAAAGTATTTATTCCCTCCAATTGATGCTACTGGAAATGGACCACACACATCAGAGTGTACAACTCCCAAGACATGTTTTGCTCTTGGAGCAGCTTCTGATGCAAATGGCAATCTTGGTTGTTTTCCTTCCATGCAAACTCTGCATGACTTTTCAGGCTTCTTAATTGCAGGAATTCCATGTACCAATTTCTTTGAATTCAGATGTTGTAAGCTTCTGAAATTCAAATGACCAAATCTTCTGTGCCACAGCTCACTCTCCTTCTCAGTACTTGTTGCACTAAGACACTCTGAGTATGCAGTTCTGACATTCACCTTGAATGTTCAATTCCTTCCCTGTTCTGACTCCATAATCAACTTCTGATTACAATCATACAGCTTCAGAAGATTGTCCTTCATGGTAACTGAGAAACCTTTCTCAATTAATTGTCCCACACTCATCAGATTGCTTCTGATGCCAGGTACATACCACACATTCTGAATCAATGCTATTTTCCCATTGTTCAGAGTCACTCTGACATTTCCCATACCTTCTGCATTAAGATATTTGTCATCAGCACATCTGATCTTTGTTCTCTTTTCAGAGTCAAAGTCAACCAGCCATTTCTTGTTTCCAGTAAGATGATTTGAACAGCCAGTGTCCATATACCACCAGTCTGTCAGATCCATATTATCAGATTCAGAGGCCATCAACAGCACAGATTCGTCATCAGAGCCTCTGGCTATATTTTCTTCTTCTGATTTCTTCTCCTTGTTTGACCAACAATCTCTAGCAAAGTGACCAAACTTCTTACAACAGTAACATTGGATCTTCTTCTTGTCATACTTCTCTTTTCCCTTCTGAGCATTCTTTTGTCTATCAGAGGTTGAGGTTTCTGACTTCTGACCACCATCAGATCTTCTCTTGGCTTCTGACTGCTTCTGATACCTCCTATCAGAAATTGCTTTCAGAGCCTGCTGCTCTACTTCCCTTTCAGAAGTTCTTTCAGTCAAACGCAACTCTTGCGCTTCTAAACTGCTCTGCAGCTCTTCAATTCTCATGGTACTCAGATCTTTGGAATGTTCTATTGCTACCACAATGTAATCAAATTGAGAGGTAAGGGATCTCAATACCTTCTCCATGATTGTTTCTTCAGAAAGAGTTTCTCCACACACCTTCATCTCATTAGTGATCATAATCACTCTGGAGATGTATTCAGAAACTTTCTCATTATTCTTCATGTTGAGATTCTCATATTGCTTTCTCAAGGACTGAAGCTTCACCTTCTTCACTGATGCGTCACCACCATAACATCTAACCAGTGTGTCCCACGCAACCTTTGCTGTCGTTGAATCTGCAATCTTCTCAAACACATTTACATCAACACATTGATGAATAAAGAATAATGCTTTCTGATCCTTCTTCCTCACTTCCTTCTGCGCGTTTTTCTGTTCATCTGTTGCATCTGCTGCTACCGGAACATAGCCATCAGTGACAAGATCTAGAACATCTTGAGCACCAAACAGCACACGCATCTGGATCATCCAACGATTCTAGTTTTTACCGTCAAATACTGGAAGTTTGGTGTTCATGTTGCCGTTTCCGTTCATCTTCTTCTTTGCACAATACACTCAGAGTTTTCTCACACAGTGTTTCCCAACCCACAGAATTTTAAAAAAAAAAATTCTGATCAGATTTTGTTCAAGATTCAACGTGAATCTAAGAAACAAAATCAATCACACAAGACCTCACGTTCACTCGTGTTTCCCGTGTTTCCCAATGAATCAGAACCGGAGCTCTAGATACCAATTGTTGGTGCAAAGATAGAATAAATGATGAAAATAGAGAAATATTCTATTAAAGAGAATGACGGCAGAAGAAACAGGATTAAGAGTTACAATGATTGTCACCCTATTTATAAGCTAAAACTAGGGTTACTAGAATAAGATAAATACTAAAATACCCTCTAACAAACTTATGGGTTTAAGAAAATAATATAATAAAATATGAATTATTACTAATAAAATTTAGAAAATAAGATTGTTTATCAATATCTAAAAAATATTAGAATTGAGATTTAAAATTTTGAAATTCTGATTTTTTTATTATTGAAAAGATTTGAATGAACACATGATTGCAATGGTTTTATGCTTTTACGATGCAGACACACACGTGATTAAACACTTACCCCAATTTAAGTGCAAGTATTGCGAACCATAGATTAATTCCATGGCTATAGATTGTTCCTCAAACATTTCCTTGTTTCTTTATGAGCAAAAAATGATAATTCAAGAACGTGGTTGTGCTTCATGAGGCTTCACATCAAGCTTGTTTTATATATATTTTCACAACAAGAAAACCCAACTGAAATATTTCTTTTGTAGCCAATGGCTTTCTCTATACTTGCACCATATCCATTTAGCTTTAGTAAAATATTTCTTCCTCATAAAAAAAGGTCTTCTTCTCTAGCAATATACAACTCCAATTTCTATCATACAACTCGATGCAAGGCATCATCACATGAAGTTATCAAAGGTTCTAGTCTGGAAGTTCCTCGTCGATCGGCTAAATTCCAAACATCAATTTGGACTTATGATTATATCCAGTCATTAAGTAGTGAATATAACGTATGATTTAACACTTTCTGTTCCTCATTTGTACATTAATTCTATAAATAAAATGATATACTAACACCTTCTGGTTAATGCAGGAAGTAATGTACAAAGAGCAAAGGTTAATGCTAAGAGAAAAAGTAAGGATGATGTTTATGAAAATGGAAAATGAGATCGATCAACTTGAACTTATTGATGTATTGCAAAGGCTTGGAGTGGCATATCAATTTACCAATGAAATAAAGAATAGACTAGACAATATTTACGGCACACAAACATCCAAGTTGGAAAATAACTTATATGCCACATCACTCAAGTTCAGACTTCTAAGGCAACATGGTTATAATATATCTACAGGTGATTTAATATACTCTTTCTGATTTTATTTATAAAAAAAATATTTTTAAATTTATTCAATAAGTAATATATATGAATAAAATATATATCAAATATATTAATTATTGAATGAATCTAATAAACATTTTTTTTATAAATAAGACGAAAGATAGTAGAAGAGAATATTCAAATTTTCGGATATAATTGCTATAATTGTCGTTGTGTTTGTGTTGCAGATGTTTTTGCTTGTTTTATCTAAAACGGGAAAATTTGAGAAATGTCATTGTTTAGATATTGAGGGAATGTTAGCCCTATATGAATCATCGTTTCATTCATTTGAAGACGAAACTATATTGGATGAAGCAATAAATTTCACCACAAAATATCTCAAAGAGTATGATTTGAATGACAATAGAGATACCTACATATCACATCTAATAAATCATGCTTTGGAGCTTCCTTTACATTGGAGAATTCCTCGATGGGAATCTCAGTGGTTCATTAATGTATATGAAAGAAAGCAAAAGATGGATCCAGTTTTACTTCAATTTGCTAAAATGGATTTCAACATTGTTCAAAGCTTTTATCAAGAAGAACTAAAGCAAGCATCAAGGTAATCTAATATTCATAATTTTAAGTGACTTCTAGCTACTATAATATCCATAATATTTCTTTGATGAATATGATTTTTTTTAGTGATCATACATTTATCGTTGAGTTAATAATTTACATCTTGAAAAAACTGTTAATTATTTGCTTTTGGACTGCATTAAGTTTTTTATTTATCATTATTGTTTCAGTTTTGTTTTAGTCAATTAGTGGATCCTAAATTTTAGGAGCAAGTCTAGTCAGTTACCCATGTTCCTAATGTGGTGGTGGTTAGTTACTTTTAAAAACACTATAAGTGTTTTGGCTGTCATGACTACAAATAAAGCAATTTCCATTTTCTCAATCACTCTGCTATAATAAAACCAACAATTGGTATCACAGCTTTCTTCTTACAGGGCCTGTGAAAATGGAAGGTGAAGCAAGTTTCTCACAAAATGCTCCGCCCACCTTTGATGGAGACAACTATGACCTTTAGGCAGTTAAAATGGAGTCTTATTTGGAGGCATTGGACCTTTGGGAAGCCGTGGAAGAGGATTATGAAATTCCTCCGCTGCCGAACAATCCTACCATGGCTCAAATAAAATTGCACAAGAAGAAAAAAACCAAGAAGGCAAAGGCAAGATCATGTCTCTTTACTGGTGTTTCAACAATAATCTTCACCAGAATTATGACTCTCAAAACACCAAAAGCAATTTGGGATTACTTAAAGGAAGAATACGCAGGGGATGAGAGGATTCGAGGCATGCAAGTGCTTAACTTGATGAGGGAATTCGAGATGCAGAGAATGAAAGATTCTGAGACAATCAAAGAATACTCTGACAGGTTGCTTTCCATTGCGAACAAGGTTAGATTACTCGGCACTGAATTCACTAATCTAGAATTGTGGAAAAAATTCTGGTTATAGTGCCAGAGAGATATGAAGCATCAATAACTACTTTGGAGAATACGAAGGATCTGTCCAAAATCACCTTAGCGGGAGTGTTACATGCCTTGCAGGCCCAAGAGCAACGAAGGCTTATGAGACAAGATCACGTGGTTAAAGGTGCTTTACTAGCCAAGCATCATGAAGTTGGAAGTAGTCAAAGCAGCCAAAGCAAAGACAAAGGTAAAAAGAAAAATTACCCACCTTGTGAGCATTGTGGCAAAATGGGTCACCCACCGTTCAGATGTTGGAGAAGACCAGACGCAAAGTGCAACAAGTGCAATCAGCTTGGACATGAAGCTGTAATTTGCAAAGGCAAATTTCAACAACATGAAGCCAATGCCAAGGTTGTAGAGCAAGATGAAGAAGATCAAAATTTTGTGGCAACATGCTTCTCAGCAAGGAGTAGTTCTGAATGCTGGCTGATTGATAGTGGTTGTACAAATCACATGACATATGATAAAGCTCTCTTCAAGGATTTGAAGCCTGTAAAATTCTCAAAAGTCAGAATTGGGAATGGTGACTATATTTCTGCAAAAGGAAAAGGAACCATTGTAATTTCAACTAGCTCAGGTATGAAAACAATCTCAGATGTTCTGTATGTGCCTGACATTGGCCAAAATCTGCTTAGTGTGGGTCAATTGTTAGAAAAGGGATTTAAAGTTCTTTTCGAAAATCAACATTGTCTTATCTTTTACACTACCGGTCAAGAGATTTTAAGGGTAAAAATGAGAGGTAAAAGCTTCTCATTTGATCCAATTGTGGAGGAGCAGACATCTTACATCACTCAAGTCAGTCCCACTGAACTCTGGCATAAGCGACTTGGTCACTATCATATTCAAAGGATGTTGAACATGAAGAGGAAAGATATGATTGAAGGTCTACCAGTACTTTCTGATCATTTGCAAAATTGTAATGCCTGTCAATTTGGTAAACAAAATAGAGTGTCATTTCCCAAAACAATTTGGAGAGCCTCTCAAAAGTTGCAACTCATTCACACTGATGTGGCAGGACCTCAAAGAACTCTATCATTACAAGGTAGTCTATAATTTATTCTTTTCATATAAGATTTTACAAGAATGTGCTGGATTTGTTTCTTGAAATTCAAGCATGAAGTGGCTGGAGTCTTTGGAAAGTTCAAGAATATAGTGGAAACTCAAAGTGGTTGCAAGATACAATTTCTAAGATCAGATAATGGGAAGGAGTACACCTCAACACAATTTAATCTATTTTATGAAGAAGCTGGTATTGTACATCAACTCACAACCCCATAAAGTCCGGAGCAAAATGGAGTCAGTGAAAGGAGAAATAGATCAGTAATGGAGATGGCCAGATGCATGCTGCATGAGAAGGAATTGCCTAAAGAATTTTGGGCCGAAGTGGCAAACACAACCGTTTTTCTTCAAAATCGACTTCCATCAAAGGCTTTGAAAGAAAAAACTCCTTTTGAGGCTTGGTATGGATATAAGTCTTCACTAACCTTTCTTAAAGTGTTTGGTTGTGTTTGTTTTGCACATGTTCATAGGTTAAGCGCGACAAGCTTGACAAGAAAGCAATTCCATGTATTTTTGTGGGTTATAGTTCTGTTTCAAAAGCCTACAGAGTACATCATTCTCAAACTAGAAAGTTGATTGTTTCTAGGGATGTTCATTTCAATGAAGATCAACAATGGAATTGGAAAAACCCACAAAAAACAATTGGATTTTTTAACAATATTGAAGATGATTATGGCAGAAACCAAACAACAGAGTTGTGTCAGGATGAATTAGAAGATGACCCTCCTATTAGAGGCACAAGGCTGCTGTCAGACATTTATCAAAGATGCAATGTAGCAGTATGTGAACCTAGTTGTTGTGAGGAAGCACTCAAGGAACCAAAATGGAAAAAAGGCAATGGAAGATGAGATTTCGATGATTCAAAAAAACAAAACTTGTGAGCTGGTTGTCAAGCCTCAAGATAGAAAAGTTATTGGAGTTAAATGGGTTTGTAGAACAAAGCTTAATTTATATTGCTCTATCAATAAATACAAGGCTGGACTTATAGTAAAAGGGTATGCACAAATTTTTTGGTGTTGATTATTCTAATACTTTTGCACCAGTGTCTAGATTAGATACAATTAGATTGGTGTTAGCAGTTGCTGCTTAACAAGGCTGGAAAGTATTCCGGTTAGATGTCAAATTAGCCTTTTTAAATGGAGTTTTACAAGAAGAGATATATGTGGAGCAGCCAGAGGGATTTGTTATGCATGGTGAAGAAGATAAAGTCTATCTACTAAAAAAAGCCCTTTATGGATTAAAACAAGCACCAAAAGCTTATCTGAGGCCACTCTTTATGTAAAATATAAGGGACAAAAATTCTCATAGTTTCCCTCTATGTTGATGATCTTTTAGTAACTAGAGATGATACAAGGTTGGTTGAAGAATTCAAACAAGAAATTATGCAAGTTTTTGAAATGACAGATCTTGGTCTTATGTCTTATTTTCTTGGAATTGAGATCAAACAAAATGAGGATGATGTGTTCATATATAAAAAAAACATGCTAAGGAAATCTTAAAAAAATTTCAAATGGAGGAGTGCAAAGTGGTTAGCACACCAATGAACCAAAAGGAGAAGATGAGCAAGGAAGATGGTGTACATTGACAAAGTTGATGAAGGCTATTACAGGAGCTTGATTGGATGTTTAATGTATCTCACTGCAACAAGGTCGGACATTCTGTTTATTGTAAGTCTTCTCTCTCGATTTATGCATTTTGCTAGTGAAATGCATTTAAAGGTAGCAAGAAGGGTATTGAGATATATTAAAGGTACTGTTGATTATGGTGTCAAGTTTGAGAGCTGTCAAAATTTCAAGTTATGTGAATTCTCTGATAGTGACTGGGCTGGATCCATTGATGACATGAAGAGCACTTCAGGATATTGTTTCAGTCTAGGCTCAGGAGTTTTTTCACGGTGCATAAAGAAGCAGGAGATAGTAGCACAATCCACTGCAGAATCTGAATTCATAGCAGCAACAGCAGCCGTAAATTAAGTTTTGTGGTTGAAAAAGATCTTATGGGACTTACATCTCCAACAGAATTATAAGACAGAAGTGTTTATCGACAACCAGGCAGCAATTGCAATTTCAAAGGATCCAGTGTGTCATGGCAAGACTAAACATTTTAACATCAAGCTCTACTTCTTAAGAGAGATGCAACAAATGGAGAGGTGACTTTGGTTTATTGCAGGTCAGAAGATCAAGGACAGATTTGTTCACAAAGCCACTTCCTGTCAGCAAGTTTGAGCTATTCAGGCAGAAAATTGGAGTTTGCAGATCCTAAAGCAAGAAAGAGTGTTAATTATTTGCTTTTGGACTGCGTTAAGTTTTTTATTTATCATTATTGTTTCAGATTTGTTTTAGTCAATTAGTAGATCCTAAATTTTAGGAGCAAGTCTAGTCAGTTACCCCATGTCCCTAATATGGTGGTGGTTAGTTTTACTTTTGAAAACACTATAAGTGTTTTGGCTGTCATGAATAAAAATAAAGTAATTCCCATTTTCCCAATCTCTCTACTATAATAAAACCAACAAAAACAATTTGTCAGATTTCTTATTGTCCGCTATGAATATTTAGTAATATAAACTCTAGAGATTGATTAAAAATTCTCAGAAAAAGATCGTGAGAGTGCAACACATTTGAGAAACACAACACGTTTAGTAGGAACTCAGTGCACTCCTGCATTTTTTCAAAAACATAATATATTTTGCCTAAAATACTTAAAAGACATTTTCAACCTTTTCTTTATACAAGAGAAACACTAGAGAAAAATAATATTTTTTAAAGAGAGAAAAAATTAGAGACATAAAGGTAGGGTTTATTGGAATTCATTCTTCTGAGATTATGAAGACTTTCGGGGTAAGGTATGTAAGGGGAATGGGAAAAGACAAATTTAGAGAAACAAAAGAAATGATTTTTATGATTCATTGTTATTAGAATCAGAAGATCTTATAGGGTGTGAGAGAATTGAGAAACAATTCTAAATAATATGGATTTGTGTTATACATATACTTTAAAAAACATTTGGGTAGAAAATAAAAGACATTATAATAAACATGGAATGATATTTTCTTTGTAAATCATCTTATAATCTCTTGTATCAACTCTTAAAGTATAGTGGATTAGAGAGTTTTTTCTCTTCCAAAATAGATTGGTTTGATCGAACTAATAAATAAATTATTTGTTACATATAGTTAAATGCATTTTTTAGTAAAAAAAGGTATAAGGAGGCCTATAATTGTGTTTGATATGCCTCAAAAAAACTGGCTCTTTTGATCGCGGAAAAATGACTATTTTTAAGAGGGTAGGGTGCATGTTGCTGGGAGCAGGGTTGCAAAAGAGTTTTTAGGGTGAAGTTGTTGTGTCAACAAATTACTTGATCCATATATGTCCATCCACAAAAATAGACTTCAATACTCCTAAAAAGGGTTAAAGTGGGCAATATTAGATTACTCTAATTTGAAGGTCTTATGAGCTTTTGAGGTTACACTTATCAAGCAAGCTAAATTTGATGATATGATTGTGAAATGTGTATTCATTGGTTATCTCGAAAGTGCGGACCCTCATAATAAAATTATGCTTATATTTTTTGTTTTGATTTAGATGTGATTAAAGGGTTGCAAGACTGTGAAAGAAAACTTTCAGAGAGGAATTCAAAAGCAAAAAGAGTAAAAAATAGTTGTAGGCGATTGATAAAATTCCTTCACTAATGAAGAACCATATTTGGAAGCTTTTGAGACTACCTGTAATAGAAAGGGTGGTCATGTGCAAGAATGGAATATGGGAGACGGGGTTACCAAAACAATTCCTAGATCAAGTTTTCATGCATTTATTGGACTTGATCACATTTATTGAAGAGTTATTTAAGCTTTGAACAACTCATTAAGGTGGTTGATGAGACAGGGTTGATAAATTGTAGAGTCTCTCTCTCTCTCTCTCTCTCTCTCTCTCTCTCTCTCTCTCTCTCTCTCTCTCTCTCTCTCTCTCTCTCTCTCTCTCTCTCTCTCTCTCTCTCTCTCTCTCTCTCTCTCTCTCTCTCTCTCTCTCTCTCTCTCTCTCTCTCTCTCTCTCTCAAACAACCTAGGCCAATTTGATCAAACAATATAAACAAATTTTGTGTGTACTTATCACTTATTCTTGTTCTTGTGATTTTCTTATACGCTTTGACAAATAAACTCTTTTCTTAAGGCCATTTATTTTGATTGCATATGTTATTTGTGTCACACATCAAAGTTCTTAGTGTATTTGAGCCACAATGGGGAAAAAAGGTTAAAGTTTACATATGAGCATTTTGGTTTCTAACTTGGCTATCAAGAAATTTTCTAAAGACATTAACTATTGGGTTATGGAAATTGAATATGTAAGAAATCTTAATTTAAAAAAGTGTATAGAAGTATTGAAAGAGGACGTATTGATTCTTGCAGACCTAAGACAAGAAAAAAAGAAGACAAAGATGGTGGATAAGACCAATAGTGTCATTATATTATATCTCGGAGATAAATTCTAATGGAATTCGCTAGGAAGAAGACAAATATGGAGATATGGGTCAAGCTTCAATCATTGTATTAGACCAACTCCTTGGCTCACAAATCGTGTTTGAAATAACAATTCTACCCATTTTGAATAATAGAGAACATATACATTATAGACTAATTGACATTATTTAGCAAAACTATTGATGACGTACAATATAGTGAGGTGAAGCTTGATGGAGAAAAGAATACTCTTTTAGTTTTAAGCTAATTACCTAGATATACTAAGTATTTCAAAGATTTTCTTATTTATAATAGGGAAGGAACTTTCCCTTAGTCTATTTGAAAATTAGAATCACGTAGTTAACAAAGATGAAACATTTAAAAGATTGACAATAATGGTGAGGGTTTGAGTATTTCAAGAGGAAGAAGTGAGAGTGTAGAAGAAACCAAAAGAGGAAGATTTTCAAGTCCAAGGGTTTTGATGAGTCAAACTTAAAATTCTTCATCTGTAGAAAATTGGTCATTTTAATAAGGATTGTTCCCAAAAAAGATTATTTTCATATTTTTGTTGCCTCAAATGAGGATGGTTATAAAGTTGTTGGCGTGCTAGTGGTGACAAGTTTAAAGTTGTTGGCGTACTATCATATATTCCCAAGGAAATAATACTCTAAGACAATATAGTTAAAAAAATGTGGAGTCGTTCAATTATGTAACAATAAGGCTTTCAAAGTTTATGGTATTATTACAATTAAACTTGCAATGATTGATGAATGTTAGTTCTTTCTATGCAATGTGAGGCATGTTCTCAATCTTAAGAGAAATTTGTTGTTTTTAAGCATGTTTGATGATCTAAGTTAATGCACTAGAATTGAACATGAGGTGTTGAAAATATTTATTGATGAACTGATTATGACTAAAGGGTCTTAAATGTGTAAGTTTTATATTTTATATGGTTTCACTATTATTGGCCATACATCATTAGTTAGTCAATACTTTCATGAAAGAACATGCTATGTAATTCTATATTAGGGCATGTTAGTGGAATAAGAACTAACAACACTTCAGTGTTTGTATTAAAGCAGTGTAATGAGTTTTGCATGAAAAAAAATAGGTTTAAAGACACATGAATAAATAAATAAATAAATGAGTTTTGCTAAATGAATAAATAAATAACAATAAAATATATAACATAATTCCTCTCTCTCTATATACATCTTTTGAATTCCATAAGAAACATGACATTCCATACTAATGCATAACATTTTGTACTTTTTTAATTATAAGATGGTGGAAAAGAACAGGCCTTGGAGAAAAGTTGAGCTTTGCAAGAGATAGGTTGGTTGAGAACTTTGTTTGGACTGTGGGAACAAACTTCAACCCAAATTTTGAATACTCTAGAAAAGTTATTACAAAGGTGAATTCCTTAATTACAGTAATTGATGATGTCTATGATGTTTATGGTACCTTGGAAGAACTAAAACTCTTCACAGAAGTGATTGACAGGTTTTTGTTATTTTCTACAAATTTTTGTTAATTTTTTAATTTTATTTAAATTATTTTCTTATTAGAGAATAGTTAACAAAATTTTGTTTGTTTTTTTCTAAAAAACTTATGATTTTAGATGGGATCCAAATGGCATGGACAATCTTCCAATCTATATGAAAATATGCTTTGAGACACTCTATAATTTTGTGAACGAATTTGCTTTAGAAGTCCAAAGTAAGAGTGGATACCATATCACTCCACAAATAAAGAAAACGGTAAGAAATATGCATGAGTTTATTGTTGTGCATGACTATTTAAAAGTTGTGTCATTGATTTTAATTTTAATTCAATGCAGTGGACAAGTCTATGTAAAGCATATTTGATTGAAGCAAAGTGGTACTATGGTGGATACACACCAAGCCTTGAAGAATACTTAGAGAATGCATGGATTTCTATAAGTTCACATGTTATACTTACACATGCTTACTTTTCGATTCCACAGTCATTCAAAATGGAAGACTTGGTTTGTTTAGAAGAAAACTCCAACATAATTCGATTTTCGGCTATGATTTCACGTCTTGCTAATGATCTTGGAACATATAAAGTAAGTTGTCAACTTCTTTTTTTATTTGTTTTGAAAGTATTATTCTTCACTTTTAAGTTAGATTTCGTTAAGTTTAAAGAAATAGGTGAGATGCGTTATAAGTTTTAAAGAAAGAATAAACATGAGAATTTTTGGGATCTTTCTTTCCAACGAATTATTTCCATTACGTCTCTGATCACTTTCCGCGTATGCTTAAGTAGTCTTTTAGAGTGCGGGTCCCAAAATCCTTTAGGTTTAATAATTTTTTACTCAACCGTGTGGACTTTTATAAAGTGGTTGTCAATATTTGAAAAGAGACTGTTCTCAGTCTTTATGGATTTTATTATGAAATGTAAGCTCGAATTAAGTTCTTAAGAAGGATCTTAAGAGGTAGAATAATGATGTGTTTTGTGATTTTGATGTTAAGATAAATGTTATTTCATATGATATTAAAAGGATTCAATAGAAATGAGAAACATCAATTGTTTATTTTAACAAGGTCTTTCTAGAAGTAGGATCTTTATGGATACTTGAGGTATCTTTAAGTGTAAAGACTAAATTGCTTTTCAAATATCATGGGCTTGCTAATTGAAAGAATGAGAGGATAATTCTAGGTTTTTCAATGCTTGTATTAAGGCTATGGGAAAGCATAATCACATTATACTTCTGAAGGTGGGTAATTAGTAAGGTCATCTTAAGTTTTTAGAGGTCTTTTGTAGATTAGTCATGATTTATTTCTGAAAAAATAAACATTATCCTTAGTTTTCCCCGATTTAATAATGATAAATATTTAAGACTATTTAAACTACAATTTAACCTGTTAAATTCAGGACCATGTGTGGCAGTCTGCCTTACATGCCCTCAAAAACGGTCCTAGAAATTAGTAGGTTGAAGAGGTTTTTGTCCATTCAGATGTCACCAGTTACTTCTTTAGTCATTTCTCTCAACCTCTTAGTGACATACCGGTGTTGGATATGGTAGTTTTTTATGAATATTATTCTTAACTAGAGGAGAGTCTTATTGTCGTCTTCCTTGCATGTGTAATTGCTCATGGTGGTTGATATATGTTATGGGAATAAAACTATGGGTTTTTATGGATTCAATTTCTCTTTCATCAAATATGTCTGACATATTCTTACAGAATACTTTGAGTTGATGTTTCACGAACTCTACAATAATACTAGGTTGCCTAAGAGTTTATCCTCTTATTTCATTACTCTTGTGTCATAAGTCATTCAACTTCATATGTTAGGAGATTCTATGAATATTTCATTAATATGTTTTTGATATAATCTAGTTGTCAAAGTATTGACATGAGGCAAGTTTAGGTTTTGGATCACCTCACCTCTCCTAATTATTCATCTTTTGTTAAAAGGTGATAGTCGGTTGACGAAGTTATGATGGTGAATGCAATTATCGACATGGGTAAGAAATTTAAGAGGGAATGTCTAATATTAAATGTGGGTTTCAAAAATACTTATGATTCAATTATTTTTGGCTTCTTAGACTACGTACTTGCTAGGTTTAGTTTTGATTACATGTGATACTTCTGAATTCATGCATGTGTTTTTTGTAGCCTTTACATTCTAGTGAATAGTTTTTCAATGAATGAGATTAATATTCATACATTTCTTAAGAGAGATGATCCTTTAGATTTTCCCTCTTCGTTTTATGGTAGAAGGATTCAACGATTTAATCTAGAAGATTGTGTCTCTAGATTTGTGTAAACGTTTCTTTTTAGGATATTTTGGATTGTTTATTCTGATCCCCAATATGCATATGACACTCTTCTTATTGGGGATTCTCTTATTCATAACCTTTTGAAATGAAGACATGTGTTGCTTTGAGTTAGCATATGAGTTATATATTAAATTTTGTATAAGTAGCGTTATAAGTGTGAATACTGCAGATACATTCTTGAGAATGAATTATTGTCTTCTTAGTTGTAAAGTAGGCAAGACACCCTTCAGGTATATTGGCCTTCCCGTGGGGGATAATAGACGTAAATTGGAAACTTGGGAACCTCTTATTTCTTTTATTCGTTAGAGACTTGAATCTTGGAGAAACAGGTATGTTAGTATGGCTAGAAGAACTTTCCTTACGAAATCTATTCTTATTAGCATCCTTATCTTTTACCTTTTGATTCTGATATTTTCTGTTAATATAAGGACACAACCATCTTACAAAGGTGACTCATTTGAGTCATAGTGAAATGGGGTAATAAGATTATGTGGATTAGGCAGTCTGATGTTTGTAAGTTGAAGAAAAAAGAAGGGGACTCCATTTTAGACACTTGAGGTTTAATCACTTAGTTGTTAGGTAAGTGTAGGTAGATGGTGATTTCTAGTCCGAATTCTTTGTGGCTTAAGATACAAGTAGTTAATTATAGAAGTCACATATCCCTTTAACTAGGTAGAATTCGCAATGGGCCCTTTGATACTCTTATTGATAGAATCAAGTTTCACATTTAGAAATTTCTTTTTAGTAGATTCTGACTAGTTCTATGTAGAAGTGCAGAAAGCGGGAGATAAGAGAATTTTGAAAACAATTTGGCATGATAGGTAGGTGGGGTCACCTTTCGTCAAAGATTTTCTAGGTTATTATTATTCTAAACCAAAATTTATTGAATGTTCCAAGTATGTGTCAGTTGATTTGATTGGTGGCCCTTTGGTTTAAGGACTCGCATGGAAGATAGATATGTTTAATTTGAAATACTAGTTGGTGGAGGATCTTATGATTTTGAATAGAGGAATTACTATCAATTTACTTGATGGTAAATGGTCTTGGACTCATGGTTCTACAAATCGATTTTCTATTATCCCGACTTGTGGGGCTCTCTTTGCTAGAATGATATTGTGCCCCTCCTTTTGGATGATCATCGTAAGTCTCATACCTTGTTTGGAAGAGTTAGGATACGCCTAAAGCTATTATTGATTTCTCCTGATAGTTTTTTTTAGGCATAGTGTTTACTCATGCTAACTTGTTCAAACTAGTGATTATTCAGGATTCTCAATATTTGAAGTTGTGGGATGAATCAAAAGATTTCAACTCACTTGTTTTTTATATATATTATTTGTCCTTAAAACAAACTTGGTAATTTTTATTTTATTTGAAATTTTTAAAGAAAGGAATAAAAGTCCAATTTAAGTAATTGAAGGATTGAAAATAAATTTTAATAGAAATATATATTCCAAAATTTATTTAAACCTTAATAAATAAAAATTAGAAAACTTCAATGTTATAACAAAAAAGAAAATATTTAGTTCCAAAATTTCACATCTTTCATATTATAAAGAATAAAAATACCAATATTTCTTAGAGTTTTTGCTTATTATATTTTATTTTACTTTTAGCGTGAAAAGGAGACAGGTGATATTCCAAAGTCAATTCAATGTTACATGAATGAAACTGGAGTTTCTGAAACTCAGGCTCGTGAGTATTTAAATTCAATGATATATATAATATGGAAGAAGATGAATAAAGAAGTTCATACTTCCTCTTTCTCAGAAAGTTTCAAAGATACTGCTATAAACTTAGCTAGAATGTCATTATGCATGTACCAGCATGGAGATGGCCATACCATTCAAGATTCGAGAATTCAGAATCACGTAATGTTATTAATTTTTAATCCCATTCCTAATGTATATACTAAATAATAAATTTTTTGGTGTATGAATGAATTATTTATATACAATATTTTGTCAAATTAGTAATTTTATTTACATGTTGAATATAAAGTAAGTTGTCAACTTCTTTTTTTATAAAGATCTTGGAACATAGGAGTATATAAAGTAAGTTGTCAACTTCTTTTTTTATTTATTTTGATAGTATCGTTCTTCACTTTTATTATAGAATTCATTAAGTTGATAGAACAAGGTGAGATGTGATATAGGTTTTCAAGAAAGAGTCATGACACTTTTCGGGATTTTTCTTTTCAATGGGTTATTCCCACGACGTTTTTGATCACTCTCATCTTGTTCTTAAGTGCTATTTTAGAGTTTGGGTCCCAAATTCTTTTAGGTTTAACAGTTTTTTACTTAACCATATAACTTTTATAAAGTGGTTGTTAGTATTTGAAATGAGGTTGTGTTCTCAGGTTTTATGGATTTTATTCGTATACATAAGCGCGAATTAAGTTTTTAATAAGGATGTCAAGAGGTAGAATAATGAGGTGTTTTTTCATTTTTATGTTAAGATAGATGTTATTTCAAATGTGATCAAAAGGATTCAATAGAAATGAGAAACATCAATTCTTTATTTTAACAATGTATTCATTAGAAGCAAGATCTTTGTGATGGGTTATAACGAGGGAAAAGCATGCGTAATGGGCCAACATTAATCTAAAGGTCAAAGACTCACCTAAACAAGTAAGAAAGACGTCACATATTCATCTAAAATCTTAAGGTGATAGGTGTATGAGTCTTCTTGCTTATAAAGTGGTCAAACTCCTATTTTCTAAGCAATATGAGACTTAGGGCTTAGACTTGTTTTTCAAAAAAACTTACTCTTATTTATCAACAATCTCTCCCTCAAATGTGAGTCCATCCACTACACTCCCTCTCAAGCAGAAATTATTTCATCCACATGCTTTACTGCAATTGACATACACCCTTACTCGTCATGGGCACTAAACGAGACATGTTGCCTGACCACCATGTCAGGAAGACATTCAATACAATGAGCCGGTCCCTTACTCAAACCATCGACTCTGATACCACTGATGGGTCACCATGAGGAGGAAGCGTACACATTTAGTCAAACACTTATCTAAAGGTCAAAGACTCACCCAAACAAATGAGAGAGACACCACATATTCACCTAAAACCTTATGGTGATAGGTGTATAGGTCATCTTACTTATAAAGTAATAAACCTCCACTTTTCTAAGTAATGTGGGACTTAGAGCTCACACTTGTTTCTTAACACAACTCACACTTGTTTCTTAACACTTTGTGGATACTTAAGGTTTCCTCAAGTGTAAAGATTCTATGGATTTTCAAATATCATAGGCTCGTTGATTGAAAGAATGAGATGATAATTCTAGGTTTTTAAATGCTTGTATTAATGCTATGGGAAAGCATAATCACATTGTATGTTGTAGGTGGGTGATCAGCAGGGTCGTCTTAAGTTTTCAGAGGTCTTGTGTAGGTTAGTCATGATCTATATCTGGAAAAATAAACATAATCCTTATTTTTCCATGCTTTAATAGAACAAATATATTATGGGACATTTTAAACTACAAATTAACCTGTCAAATTCGGTGCCATGTGCGGTAGCTCACCTTACATGCCCTCAAAGACGACTGTAGAGATTAGTAGGTTGAAGAGATTTATATCTGTTTAGATGTCACCAGTTACTTCTCTAGTCATTTCTCTAAACCTCTTAGTGATATAGCAGTGTTGGATAAGGTAATTTTTATGAATCTTATTCTTAACAAGAGGAGAGTCTTCTTGACTTCTTTCTTGCATGAGTAATTGCTCATGGTGATGGGTATATGACATGGGAATAAAACTATGGGTTCTAATGTATTCAATTTATTTTTCATCAAATATGTCACATATTTCTATAAGATACTTTGAGTTGATGTTTCACAAACTCTACAATACTATGTTGTCTAAGAGTTTATCCTCTTATTTCATTGCTCTTGTGTCAGAAGTCATTCCACTACGTATGTTAGGAGACACTATGAATATTTCCTTAATAGGATTTTTATATAATCTAGTTGTCAAAGTATTGGCAGGATGCTAGCTTAGCTTTTGGATCACCTCTCCTAATTATTCAATTTTTGTTAAAAGGTGGTCGTCGGTTGATGAAGTTTTAGTGTTAAATGCAATTATCGATATGGATAAGAAATTTAAGATGGAATGTCTAATATTAAATGTGGGTTTCAAAAATACTTAAGTTTCAATCATTTTTTGCTTCTTAGACTACATATTTTCTAGGTTTAGTTTTGATTGCATGTGACATTCATGAACTCATGCATGTGTTTTCTAGTAGCCTTTTCATTCTAGTGAATAGGTTTTTAATAAATGAGATTAATATTCATATATTTCTTATAAGAAACAATCCTCTATATTTTCCTCTTCCTTTTGTGGTAGAAAAATTCAATGAGTTAATTTGTAAGACCGCATCTCTAGATTTGCATAATTTTTCTATTTAAAGGATTATGGATTGTTTATTTCTCATCCTCGATATGCATATGACACTCTTTTTATAGGAGAGACTCTTGTTGATAACCTTTTAAATATGAAGACTATTATATGTTGCTTTGAGTTGGCGTCTGAGTTACATATTAAATTTTGTACAAGTAGTGTTATAAGAGTGAATGATGCAGATACGTTCTTGAGAATTAATTATTGGTTTTTAGCAGTAAAGTAGACAAGATGCCCTTCAGGTATATTGACCTTCACGTGGGGGATAATAGACGTAAATTGGAAACTTTGGAACCTCTTAGAGAAACAAGCATGTTAGTATGACTAGAAGAACTTTCCTTTTGAAATTTATTCTAATACCATCCATATCTTTTACCTCTCGATTCTAAGATTTCCTATTAATATAAGGAAACAACCAATTTACAGAGGTGAGTTATTTTGGTCATGGTGAAATGGAATAATAAGATTATGTGGGTTAGGCAGTTTGATGTTTGTAAGTTGAAGAATGAAGAGGGGGACTCCATGTGAGACACTTGAGATTTAATATCTTGGTTGTTATGTAAGTGTAGGTAAATGGTTATTTCTAGTCATAACTCTGTGTGTCTTAAGGTACAAGTATTTAGTTATAGAAGTCACATTATCCTTTAACTAGTTAGAATTCGCAATGGGCCAGTCGATACTCTTATTGGTAGAATTAAGTTTCTCATTTAGAAGTTTCTTTTTATCATATTCTGAATAGTTCTATGTTGGAGCGGAGAAAGTGGTAGATAAGAGACTTTTGAAATTTTTTTGGCATGATAGGTTGGTGGGGACGCCCTTCATCAATGATTTTCTAAGTTATTATTATTCTCACATGGAAGATAAATTTGTTTAATTTGGATTACTAGTTGGTGGAGGATCTTATGATTATGAATAGAGGAATTACTATCAATTTACATGATATAAATGGTCTTGGACTCAAGTTCTACGAATCAATTTTCTATTATCCCGACTAGTGGGGCTCTCTTTGCTAGAATGATATTTTACCCCTCCTTTTGGGTGATCATCGTAAGTCTCGTACCTTGTTTGGAAGATTCAGGATCCGCCTAAAGCTATTGATTTCTCCTGATAGTTTTTTCTAGACATAGTGTTGACTCATGTTAACTTGTTCAAACTGGTGATTATTCAGGATTCTCAATATTTGAAGTGTGTGATTTGTGGTAAGAATAAAAAGACTTCAAGTCACTTGTTTTTATATATATATTCTTTATCCTTAAAACAAATTTGGTAATTTTTATTTTATTTGAAATTTTTAAATAAAGGAATAAAAGTCCAATTTTAGTAATTGAAGGGTTGTTAGTTTAGCAATTTTCATCTCTGACTTGAGTCATACTCAACAATTTTCATCTTAACTTGAGTCATACTCAACAATTTCCATCTTAACTAATATAAAATTTTTTTGAATTTTTTTGTATGGCATCCACAAATTGAAAATAAAGAGGTAAATCACTTTCTTAACATATCAACGGCACTTTTCAATATAAAATTTTCAAGTAATATTTTTCTAAATGAAAGTAAATATTTGATTTTTTGCTCACATAAATATGATTGGTCCAGGAGTGATGCATCTGACTATTTTCCAAATAAATGACACTTTGACTATTACAATGCCATTGAACTCCAATTTACTCAACACTTAATTTCTTAACTAACCATGTAACTCATAATGCCTCTTTAGCAACCTTAACTACTTTTAAGTATTCTACTTCAGGTGTAGACATGGACATTATAGATTGAATGGATGATTTCAACATATATGTCCATATGCAAAGTAATGACATATGATGTTATAGACCTCATATCATCCATATCTACTATATAGTCTAAATCAACATTTCCTAAAACTTAAGGATCACCATGTCAAAACTAAAACTGATATAATTACTTGATGTACTTTCAAGTACCTAAAAACCAATTTTAATGCTTCTTAATGACACTTATAGGATTTTGATATAGATTTGCATATTCAACTTACAATTTGTAACAAATTTGGTCTAGTGCAAATTATAACATTACATTAAACTACCAATAATAATATTAGTAGAATTAACCTTTGACATATACTCGACTTATGCATCTGCCTTTAGACATTGTTCCATTGAGAACATAAAGTTATCCACCAATGGGATATTCAAAATATTTGAATTACTCATGTCATTTTTCTAACACCTTTTTAACGTATATTTTTCTAAGAGAACCATAATTTTCAAGAACCCATGTCCTTAAGAATTTTAATCCCAAGCATCTGAAGAGATTTAAGGGGAATTCTTTTCAAAATTTTGACTCTTAGCGGAATAATTCCGATGAAAAGGTATTTATTAAATCATTAATTACAAATAATAAATATTAAAACAAGGATTATCAAAATACCTCTTGAAACGTGTTTCAATGTTGATCATAAACGAAGGAAGATACAAACGTCCACTACTAAAAAAAATATCTTTGGAGAAATAATATTACAACGAC